TGAGATCAAAAGAAAATTATGAGACTAAAAAGATCATTTTTTTTAAATATATGGATCAAAATTAACGTTGTGAAAGTAGAGAGACTAAAATGAACTTCTTGAAAGTACAAAAATTAAAATAAACAAAAGGTAAAAGTGTAGAGACCGAAATGGTATTTTAACGACAAATGGGTTTTAGAGAGTCTTTCACTTCATTTTTAGAAGGGTATTACTAATTTATTTTTAAAGTTTGTGTTCTTGAAATTTAAATTTTAAGGTTGAAATTAACTCATTCAACCTACCATTGTGGTTAAAAATAAAAATAAAGCCTTGCATTTTCACTATATTTATTTACATTCTATTAATTACTTTATTTGTTACATACAACCATATCCATAGTCTCTAAATAAACTTATGTACGATATTATTTACTAATAGGAAAAAAAACAAATTTATGTGCTAAATAAATATGTTAATTTATATGCGACATTATTATGTTTTTACTACCTTTGTTTCCATTTTTTTTAACTTAGACCCCTGAACTCTAATACAATCAAATATTAAAATAGAATAAATATAAAGATTTAAAATTTAAACCCAAATTTTTTTTTTATCTAAACCTAAGTTTTTTTGTGCACTATATGTTTGTAATGAGTATGTCAATGAAATGTTTTAAATTTAGTGTATTATTTAATGGATGAGTTTTATATAGTTAACTAAAATTTATTAACAAACTAATGATCCCAAATTGATTTAAATTATTTGAGGGTCAGAAACAATAAACTTTTAAAATTGTGTCCAATAAGTCTCTAAGTTTTAAAAAGTGTCTAATGAATCTTTAAACTTTCAATTTTCGATTGTATCTAATAAGTTTTTGCATTTTAAAACCATATCTATTAAGTATCTTAACTTTAATTTTGTCTTTGACAAGTCTCAGTCATAGAGGATGTTTTTAAACTTCACAAATACATTAAATATAAGGTTAAAATACTATTTTGGTCCCTATACTTTTAGTTAATTTATTTTAATCATCGTAGCTTCAAAATGTTTATTTTTGTCCATATACTTTCAACTTAGTCTCCATGCTTTCGAAATGTTCGATAGAGTCCATGTACTTTTAAAAATTAACCATTTTACTACGTAGTTTCAAATTTTTAACATAAAATCTATACATAATTCAACATTTCTAATCAAAAGGTTATGAGTTCAAAACCTCACCCTCGGAATCCACAAAAATTACATGCATTGAAAACCATTTAATATAAAATTGAAAGTTAGAAACAAACTTTGTGTTTCCAAAAAGAGAAAGAGGAAAGAGAAGCTTGTGGCTGCTCCAGCTGACCGACAATGAACGGTCACCAGTCTGAAGGTTCCGTTTGGTGGTGCCGGCAACGTCAAAATAAATAATAAATAATAAAATAACTTCACCGACCGTCACATTCCACCAAATAAATTTCCGCCACGTGTCCTGTCCAAAACCACTATATTATCTTATGGACATTGATTGAGCAACATTAAAGTTCCTGACGAAACCTTTTGGATCGTAAATTTTTTTGGGTAATTAAATATTTGATATTTGAATGTTGCAAATGTTAATTCATTATAATATAAGTATTAAATGTTATTTCTAATAATTGAGGTTGTTCTGTTTAATAATGATTTCCTTTTTAATTTTTTATTCTAAAAATTCTCATCATTTTCTTGGTATTTTCGAATTATTGAATAAACTTAAAGTGTCAAGTTGAATTAGTTAAAACATATATATTTAATAAAATTATAAATTTGAACCTCCATCATACTGTATTAAATGAAAAAAAGAGTAATAAAAGTTTATGATTAATAATCTTTTTGAACCTAAGATATTAAATTGCCGTAATATTTCCATCAACATTTTCATAATATCGAAAAATAAGTCAATAAAATATAAAAAAAATATCATTAATATGTAAATAATATTAATAATAATTTTTTTAACATATTTAAAAATAGTTAAATGTAAATTTGGCGACATTAACATTTTACCAATAATTCTATCAATATTTTCGTAAAAATTGAGACATCTATATTTTCCGAACAAAATATTTTTCTAAAAGGAGAGCCGCATCTGAGAAAATAAATACGTGGCAGCCGTAAGGCGTGTATAGACGGTACTGTCCTAGTGCACCTAAAAGCATGCGAACATTCCTCCGCTTGAAAAATTATTGACGCCCCCTACCATTTCCTCACCCACTTGGACTTTGGCGGCAATTTTTTCCCTCCTAACAAGGGTTCCCAAAATTATCAAAATCCGAACGTAGTTCAGTGGGTTGGACTAATATATATTTAATCATAAGATTACAGGTTTGAATTTTCACTCTACATATAATTGATTATTAATATATTTGAATATGTAAACATATCACAGATAAAAAATAAATTATATTGATAGACTAAACCGAACAAATTTGGTTGGGAGACGAGTTTAATTTTCACATATCAGATAACATTTAAGTTCACGTATATTAATAACATAATAACAAAATAATAATTTAATGATATATCATTTCTAAAAGTATAGTCTTGAAATTTTAATACATTATAGATAAATTATAAATTTTAAAAGACTAAAAATTAAATTGAAAATTATTTAAAAGGTTAGAAGTCATACTTGCTACATATATTGTTTCTTTTTAAGGGAAAAAAAGCCACGGTTTTATTTTTTATTTTAAGAACACGACGGTTCTAATTTATTGTTGATGTCGTGGAAAATGTCATTCACTTGTTTTCTTTTGGTTTTTTTTTTTATTTAAAAATTAATATAGTATTTTTAAAAATATATTTGAAATAGTAACTTTTTTTACAAATAATTAATTATAAATAAATATTTTTAAAATATATTAATTACTGATTGATGGTTGACATTATATCTCGGTTGAGTTGAGATTAAGAATAAAAAATTATTGAAACATGTGTTCTATCTTTCTTCTTCATTTATAATTTATTTTAGATGTTTTATGTAATATTAAATCTAAATGACAACTAGAGTTCAGTTCAGTACTAATTGACATTTGTCTCTAACCAATATATCATCAATTTAGATTCGTCATTTCTACTTGTTGAACTAAAAAAATCTGTACTAAATTGTAGTCAATTGTAATCTTGAGCGTATAAACGAACGAGTACATAATTATATTAGTCAATTAAACTTTTTAATTAATTTAGTTAAATATAAATATAAATTAATTAGTTTATTAATTCATCAATTAATATTTTATTTCATAAGTCATTTCTATTTTATTGTATGACTATAACTATAAATAGTCATATTTAGACTGTGTTAAAGTTTTTTCAAAATATTTATCTGTTAGAAGGATTGGAGAAGTTTCTCAGCTTTTGTGGAGACACATTTCCCTTTATTTATTGTGCAACGATTATGTATTAATTT